ACACTTTAGGATTGTACTTTACTTATATCGGTCAGTCCAATTGAAACATATTTGGTGTCTAACCACAAGGTAGACAATCAGGAAATGTTTAATATATGGCATGACCGCTTGGGTCATCCAAGAACAAGCATGATGATAAAGATTGTTGTAGCCAAGCCTAACAACTTGGCTATGGACATTTCTTTGGTTCAAGACGTAGCATCATGTATTGGTGCTATGCATTCTATCCATGGGCAACAAGATATTCAATCCCTTGAATTTCTTGTTGTTCTTATTAACTAGTTTATTCTAGTTCTTTTTATGCTTTGAATAAATTGTAAACTTTAGTCATTTTAAGTTTGCAAATTAGTTATATTTTTTCTTAGTTCTTTTTAGCTGATTTTAGTTCGAAAAATATTGTCACATTCACACAAAAGTACAAGTACAAAGATACATCAAAATGGCAGCCATTTAAGCGTGGAATCCGAAATTCTTTTACAAGGAATTTCAAAGCTTTTACTTGGGAGTTACAATCAGTTTTCAAAGAGGAATTACAAGCCATTACAAGCCTTAACATCAGCCTTCAAGTGGCCGTTGATATCAGTCAACATTGGAGCATCTTAAGCCTTAATTTCAGCCTTCAATTGGTTGTTTAATTCAGTCAGCTTTTGGAGAAACTAAAGGGCGTCCAAGTACACCCTTGTCCACATACATTCAAGCTAATTTCAAGGCTTGAACCAAGGAGGAGTTACACTTCTTTGCAGTTTGAATTTGGGCGTGAATATTGGAGGAAATACATCTCCAACTTGCTGCTTGGATGGGCGTGAATTAAGGGGAGTTACACTCTCTTAATTCTGATTTTATTTCAACCTTAATTTGGAGGTTATAAGCCACCATTTTCTCTCTGATGTATCTAGTTAAATAAGGCTTCTTTTATTAATGTATCTAGACAACAAAAAGTTGATTTGTACTTAGCTTTAGCTTAGGCATGTAACAAGAGAGCTGAACAGCCACTTAAGTTAGCTTGTACTTAAGGATGCTTGTTTACTATAAATAGCAAGCAAATGTGAATGAAAAAATCATATTATTCAAACAAAAAACTTTTCTTACATTCGTTTCTTGCATTAGAAACAAAAACCTGAAATTCTTGGATTTGGAATTTCGTTTCCTTTGCTTAGTTAGCTAGTTTAGGCTACTAGTTGGCTTGTGATCTTAGGAATCCAAAACGTTTCTTAGTGGTGTGACTTTATCTAAGAAGCCTTTGGTTCTTTAGCCTTATCTATCCCTTGGTTTATCCCTTGTGTATTTCGAGTGTTACTCCAAATATACAACAAAGATCAATAAAAGTTCAAATGGACATCCGTTAAATAATATACGAATCCCATAATCAAATGAACTTCACTGTAAAGCTTGTTCACTTGGCAAACTAATCATTAGACCTTCAAAAGGTAAACTTGAAGGTGAAAATCTTGCATTCCTAGAAAGAATACAAGCAGACATTTGCGGGACAATACACCTGACATGTAGACCGTTCAGATATTTCCTTGTGTTAATTGATGCCTCAACACGTTGGTCACATGTTAGTCTTCTCTCCACCAGGAATGTAGCATTTGTAAAACTTCTTGCGCAAATCACACGTTTAAGGGCTCAATCTCCGGATTATCCGATGTCAGACTAGACAATGCCGGAGAATTTACATCTCGAACATTTAATGACTATTGTACGTCAATCGGGATACATGGAAGATCTAGTAGCCCGTGTTCACACACACACACAAAATGACCTTGCGGAAGCATTCGTAAAGCGATTACAATTAGTCTCTAGGCCATTACTCATGAAATCAAAACTCCCATCTTTTGCATGGGGACATGCAATAATACATTATGCGGCTTTGCTACGACTAAGACCGAGCGCGACGCATAAGTTATCTCCAATGCAATTAGTACGTAGTTGGAAAGGAACCTAGCCTGGCACATCTAAAAATATTCGGATGTGCAGTCTATGCTCCCATAACACCGCCCTAACGTACTAAAATGGGCCCACAAAGAAGGTTGGGAATCTATGTTGGCTATGAATCACCTGCCATCATACAATATCTCGAACCATTAACTGGTGATCTTTTCACAGCTCGGTTCGCCGATTGTCACTTTAATGAGACAGTCTTCCCAACCTTAGGGGGAGATAAAGAGGCCCCATGTTGGAAAGAAATATCATGGAATGCCCAAAATTTATCATACCCTGATCTAAGGTCAAATGTGTGCGAACAAGAAGTGCAAAAAATAATACATTTGCAATACATCGCAAATTAATTGTCAGATGCATTCACTGATACAGAAGGTGTGACAAAGTCACATATACCAGCAGTAAATGCTCGTGCTAGGGTTGAAATCCCAACAAATTAAAGAACATGGATAATCCACTTTCAAATAAATCTGCAGCACGCAAAAGACGTGGCAGACCCCTCGGAGTTAAAGATCTAAAGCCGAGAAAATCCAAAAAGAGTGAAAATGAGGAATAAAAAGGGTGAAACTCCTCAAATAAAGTGGATCAAATCCAAAATGATGAAAATATCATCAACCCCCAAGATGAATCTAAAGAGTCGGATGGTACATCTACGGGGGAGCGTGAAAACAAAATTGTCGACAATCATGAAATTTCAATAAATTACGTCCACACTAGAAGACAATGGGATAAAGTAAAAACTTCTGTCAATGATGTATTCGCATACTCAATTGTCACATAAATCATCACTGATGTTGAGGAAACCAAGCCATCATCAGTAAATGAATGTTGACGAAGGAGTGATTAGCCAAAATGGAAAGAAGTCATTCAGGTTGAATTAAAATCTCTCGCAAAACGCGAAGTTTTCAGTTTTGCAATCCAAACTCCAAAAGGAGTGAAACCCATCGGGTATAGATGGGTGTTCATACGAAAAAGAAATGAAAAGGACGAAATTGTAAGATACGAAGCTATACTTGTGGCCCAAGGTTTCTCTCAGAGACCGAGATTCGACTATGAGGAAACATATTCACCTGTGGTAGAGCCACAACATTAATTAAGGTTCCTCATAAGTCTATCAGCATGCAAAGGACTGCAAATGCGTTTAATGGATGTTGTTACTGCATACCTTTATGGGTCACTTGATAGTGACATCTATATGAGAATCCCCAAAGGACTTGAACTACCTGAACCTTAGAGGTCAAAACCTCGAAAGCTACATTCCTTAAAATTGAAAAAATTATTGTACAGTTTACAGCAATCCGAGAGGATGTGGTTTAACCGTTTAATATATGAGAGTTCCCGAAGGACTTGAACTACCTGAACCTTTGAGGTCAAAACCTCGAAAGCTACATTCCATAAAATTGAAAAAATCACTCTACGGTTTAAAGCAATCCAAGAGGATGTGGTTTAACTGTTTAAGTGAGTACCTTCTCAAAGGAGGGTATAAGAACAACCAAATTTGTCCATGTGTCTTCATCAAAAGGACCGAAAATGGTTTTGTTATAATAGCGGTGGTGTATGTTGATGATTTAAACATCATCGGGACACCTAACAAAATCGAAGAAACCGCTAAATGTATGATGAATGAATTTGAAATGAAAGACCTTGGAAGAACAAAATTTTGTCTCGAATTACAAATTAAACATCTAAGAGATGGTATCTTAATTCATCAATCCAATTATGCCGAGAAAGTATTAAAAAGGTTCTATATGGACAAAGCACACCCATTGAATTCACCAATGATTGTTCGTTCTCTAAACATCACAGATGATCCATTTCGACCCCGAGAAGAAGGTGAAGATATACTTGGTCTAGAGGTGTCATACCTAAGTGCAATAGGAGCTTTGATGTACCTGGCCATTAACACTAGGCAAGACATTGCATTCTCGGTGAACTTGTTAGTAAGGTATAGCTCTGAACCTACAAGCAAACACTGTAATGGAGTGAAACACTTACTTTTCTATATACGCGTAACAATCGATTTAGGGCCCTTCTATCCAAGAAATGGAAATCCTACTCTCGTGGGATACGCTAATGCAGGCTACCTATCAGATCCACTAAAATAAAAATCACAAACAGGTTATCTTTTCAACTATGGCAATACAGCGATCTCTTGGAAGTCAACCAAGAAAACACTAACAACGACTTCATCAAATCAAGCTGAACTGATTACCCTTTACGAAGCTGGTAGGGAATGCATATGGTTGCGATCGTTAACCCAACATATACTCAAAGAGAGAAGCGTGAATACAACCGAAGAAAGCCCAATTACAATATTTGAAGACAATACTGCTTGCATTACACAAAATGAAAGAAGATTATATTAAAGGCGATAGAACAAAACATATCGACCCCAAGTTCTTTTCTACTCATGACTTTGAAAAAGAAGGAAAGATCGATGTCAAGCAGATCCAGTCATGTAACAACTTAGCCAATCTATTCACGAAGGCATTACCACCTAGCAAATATCAAGAGCTCGTGCATATGATCGGCATGCGTCGTCTTTGTGATCTATGTTAAAACTGAGGGGAAGTCCTATATGTGTTGTACTCTTTTTTCTTTGTCCAAGATTTTATCCCACAGGATTTTTCTTGACAAGGTTTTAATGAAGCATATAAACATATAGGTACAATAGCGGTAATATTTGTTTTAACATAAATGTAAATTTTAGGAGTCATCTTATAGAAATCCGTTCAAGGGGGAGTGTTGTAATACGCATCGTATGCGTAATATGAACGGATTAAGAATACCGCCAAATATCACCGCTTAGCTTCCCATGCAAGAATAAATATTACTGCTCAAAACCTCATGCTCGATTAGACATTTCACAAAATGTTTAATATATCGAGCAAACACTATTCATACAGGGGTACTATAAATCCCCGCATAATCTAAAGAAATTATACACAACAATTATCAGAGTATCTAAAAGCTTTCTTTTGATCTATTTGAAACCCTTTATTGAAAACAACTGACAATATACAGCGCCTATAAAAAAAATAACATAGGAGAGCCACCTCTAAAGATAACATAATTCGTTTTTAAAAAATTACATTATTTAAAAGTCACTAAATTATTTTTACTCACTAAATTATTTTTATTGTCATTAGAAATTGTCTTGAATCATTTTTCCTACACAGTAGACTACAGTTTGCTAATAAAACGGGTTCCTGTACTTAACCTACATACTCATCCATATCCTAACACTATAACAATAACAATAATACTATGACAATAATGCAAAGTCTTCGAAGTACATAGATCAATCCCATTCAACACCATTCCTTTGGATGAATTCATCCTCTTGGTCTTGGAAGAACTCTCGTGGGGATTCACCACCATAATTAAAGTTTGCATTCATGAATTGAACACCACGATCACCATCACCATGAACATCATTATTCCAGGATGGAGATGGAGCTAACATACCCTATGTCATTCAAAACCATAAATAATAACTCCATTCATGTATGTAACTCATTAATATAAAATGGATGGTGTGTCACCTGGTTTAACATGTCTAACATGCCACCATCAAAATCATTGCCAACTGTGTCTTCAGTCTTCACTGATATATAAGAACAAATTCAACAATTTGGAATCAACCACAAACTTAAACAACGGTACCTGAGCAACATCATAAACAGCGGGCTAAACTGAGCTAACCATGATTAGGTCACCAAAGCTGAGCTAAGCACGAGCAACTAAATAAAAAGAACAATACAGGGAACTTATGGTGCCAGATCTCAAATTTTACTTCTTATTTCCACCTTTTACTTGAATCTTCAGTCAGCTAAGATGCCTTAAGTAAATTAAGCAGAGCCCATTCAACCTAACAGTTACCACCAGAACATATATTAACATAACTCTTGTAGTTAAACTGCAAATGAAATTTGAATAAATTGCACTAGTCTACAAAATACTGCAGTTAAAACTATAAATTGTACTAGTCCACAAAATACTGCAGTTAAAACAGAATTTCAGGAAAACAATTCATATCTATAATGATAAATTACTCTTAGTTAGTCATTTGAATTGTTTAAGGCAAAAAAAAGTCTGAAGTTCTTTATGGACAATGCCACACCAATATCAGTTTTCAAAGCACATTGCTTGAAATACTTTTCAAAGCATGAAAACATTCAGAATCAAGCCATGCAACTATGCAAGCTACCAAAAAAATCTCTTGGCACTTAAAATTCAGCCAACAAATGGGAAAAAAAATTGTTACAGCAAAGAGACAATCACTTTAATGTATTGGACTCAATATAGCTAATAAGTATGCAGCTCTCCTATTACAAACTAAGAAGCTTCATAATGTGCAACTGAGTAGACAAAACTCACTTTCAATTTCACAACAAAACACAGCACCAAGACATAGCCAAGATCAATAAAAAAAAAAAAGAGGCATCAAGATTGACTAAATTGAACATGAATGGACAAATCAAATTGGTAATAATCAATCCCGTAACATGATCACATGTGTAACGAGTAAAGTTACAAGGAGATGGTGAAAGATTAAGGAAAGAAAAGGTATTCTAGCTCAACAACCAAACCCTAACAAGTTACATGAACACAAAAGGCACATGTTTCGGTACAAGAAAGCCAGAAATGTTGTTGCAATATTGGTGTTATACGCAGCCAATTGTTTCCCAGGGTTCTGGGAATAAGGTTTTGTGAAATAGTTAATTCACATGTCCCATATGAATAAAACTTCCCATCAGAGCATAGTTAACAAATACGAGTAACTCAGAAAGTTTGGCCATGGATATACTCCGTATCAAATTTCTCTCTCCCTCTCCTAAATAACAAATCCATGACCAAGCATTGCCAAGACTAGTCTAATGAAATTCAAGTGGCACTGCAAATCCATTTTACATTATCATTTTACCTCCCAAACACATGTTATACACACTTATAACTCTTATATGATCATTAAATTTAAACTGAAAATTTTCATCATCATACAAAATTACAAACCTCTTTGTTTGTTTCTTTCCATAATTACCCAAATGAAAATCCACAGTAAATTTTTTTCTAATTTTCAACAACTTGCATGATAATTCACAAAAAGTGACACATTTACTAGAGGTTAACTACTCATCACAATTCTCTCTAGTTCATAACAATCTACTTCAGTAACTTTACTTACCTATTCAAAAGCCTCTATAGCACGATCTACAAATGGTGGAAATTGAGATTCTAATCCTTAAATGATCACTTAAAGTCAAAACAGAAAAGCCTTGAAAAAGCACTATTGATAAATCTATTACTAGTATATAATTTAAGAGTCAACCACAGAACTCGAAACTCTTAATCCTCTCTGTTAACTTAACTTCTTTTTTTTTTTTAACCTATCATTTTCCATTATATTTTCCTATTCTATAACTTCCACTAAACAAATTCAATAACTCCCATAATCATATTTGCAAAAATAAATTAATAATACCGTAGTAATAAGAAAAACATTGATATATACAATTAATATATTCCGTGCTTTGGCACGGGTACGCTCCAGTGATTTATAAATTTTTAGCTCTACAAGAATGTTGTACTGATATAATCTAATGACATTGTTATTTGTTACTTCAGAAAACTTGAATAACAACATGATATACAAAACAATTGTTAAATTGACATCATTACAGCCTTATAGCTTCTTAATTATAGTGCACAAACCACCCATAAAATAAATCCTACGCACTGAAAAATAATTTGGGTTATAGATTAAGTAAACCATTTATAGAGCTAAGAAAGCATTACTTTATAAATGACTCATGAATTCAAGTCAAATGGATATATAAAATCAAAAATGACAATTAAACAATTCACAATACATTTATGAATTTTATTAATCCTTTTAGCATATCACTTTCTTCATGCATTTTTTGACAATGCTACAATCCAATGCACTTAAATCATGTAAAAGTAACTGCGTATAAGAAGAATTTCAATGCAAACAAAGCTAAATTTTAAAAATTAAGAATATAGCAGCAGCTAGAACATGGAGTAATCACTAAAAACCCTCAATAAACCAATTTAACACTATAACTTATAAATCATACGTTCGAAGAATTTAACACTAGCGCCTGTGATTCAAAATCATCACATTATAGCAAACAAAAATCCTATTTTTTACAATTCAAGAACTAATTTAACAACTTAATTATTAATCCAAAAATTGAAAATCAAAATCATAAACTCACCTTCTGCCATTGTTAGCTTGAAAGCTGCAGTCGCTGGTAGGCTTAGGAGAGGAAGTAACCTAGGAGCAGGGAGGACGAGAGTATAGAGGAGAGAGAACAGAGCAACTTTTTTTTTTTTTTTTTCGAGAAAACAGAGCAAAATTGAATTGCACCTAAACAAAGCTCTAAAAGAAAAATCAATCAGGAATGTCACGTTCATTCAACTTGTACTCAAATCGACAACATGAATCAACTCTCATCTCGGTGCTCATATCATTCTCTGGGGCTGGGTAGTAATCCCCTCTCAGCTGAACATCTCTCAGGTTTGGAATTTTAAGGAAAAACAACATAAAATGCTCATGAGTAGTTCCATGAATAAAGAGCTTCCTTAATGTATCACACTCTTGAAGTAGCCCAGCTGCTGGAAGTGACAGACTCCGTTGATTGACTTCCCTATCTTGTGGAGGCCAATAATCGAGCTCATTAAGCCTCAAACTCCTTAAGTCAGTCAAGAACCATCTCTCCCATAGGCTAAGGTCCATGTGCCCGGACGGAGCTGTCAACGCATAACCTATAGTATCCCCACAATCGAGCTTCATCTTCGACAACATTGGATATCGCCCAAGCGAGCTGATCCCAAATGCTCCCTGTGATGGCTTTGGCCTTTCTCGACAATCTCCTTCTACTTTGATATGAATTTCCCTTAGCTTGGGGCAATCCTCCAGTCCTGCATTGGCCAATGGTGTCAAAAGCTCTCCAACTCCAATCCACAGTGATAGAAACTCAAGACGTCCCCAAGTCTCAGTAATATATCCATTGCCAGTGCTACCTTCCATGTTGCCCATGAACCAGCTCTCAATATCCCATGAAACCTTGGTCCTCTTTCTCATTCTACTATTTTCTTCCTCATCATCCTTGCCTTCATACTTATGGTTATAATCAACACCTAACACGGTTACCTCTTCCTCGTACTCGGGTTTCTCACCGTTCCAAACACAATCAATGTGGAGTCTCCTAATCCTTCCCCTTATAGGCTCCACAGCTTTTAACGAAGCAGAGGCATCAAGATACTTACAACCCGAAATTTTGACTTCAACTAGTGTCCTCTTAAGCAAGCACACCATTGTCCTCAATCCCCTCATAGTGATCTTCTTACATCCAATCACCTCAAACTTAGTAAGTTTGGAGCAACCCCTCCCAATGGCAATCAACCCGAAATCAGTCAAATCAGCCGAGTTCTTAATCGTTAACGACTCAAGCCCTTGACAAAGGGCAATCCCATCCAAGTGAGACTCAATGGCCTTACAAATCCCATGAAAACATCCCAACTCAAGTGACCTCAAATTCGGACACCTCGAAGCCAAAGCTTCCAAACACACCCAACTCCCTCTCACATTCCGCCATACATCCAACACCAACTCCTCAACCAACATCAACCCAGTAAAAAAACTCACAATGCCCTGAACAGTAAGCCCAGCATCCTCCCTACAAAACCCTTGATCATCAAATTCTCGATCACCCTGAGCTATATCCGCAAGATGAAGAACCCTAAGCTCCTTACAATTGGACGAAATCGCCGAAAGCGCATCGTCCCCAAGAAACCCAATATACCTTGGATAAAACACACAACCAACCCTAAAATCCCTCAAATTAGGACACGCCCTAGTAACATCCACAACCTCCTGCGACTTAAACCCCTCGGACAACGAAAAATTGAGCAAATTCAAAACCACCAAATTAACCCCAATTCTGGGATGAGCCTCAAGAGCCGACATAAGATCCTCAGTCCAGTAGTAAAAAGACGACAAATCAACAGACTTAAGACGGCCACAATTCTGAAACAACACAAAGAAATCCGACCCAAGTGGGATGTTATTAGGCCTCTGATGCCACCGAATGAGCTTTACATCCTCGATCAAATCGAACAACGGCGACAGCAGCGACAGCGTACAAGGGTAGCGGGAGTAGAGAGTGAGTGAGGTGACAGCTGGAAAAGCGAGACGAAGACGGTGAGCAAGCAGCAAAGAAGCGTTGTTGTGATCATTGGTTGCGGTGGAGATGATGTTGGGGTGGAGGGAGATGCCCCAGGGCGAGAGTGAGGAGATGTCAAGGTGGGAGACGGCGGAGAAGCAGGTGGGGAGGTGGAAGAGGAGGTGCCGGATGTTGCCGCGGAGGGAAAGGTGGGACCGGGTAAGGCGTTCGAGAGCGCGCCACTTTAGGCTCACCAGGGAGGTGGAGTTGCGAGTGCGGGTGTCGGATAGGAGGGATATTATGTGAGCTAGGACCGCGTCCGGGAGGTCTTGGATCGTCGTCGTCGTCGTCATCGTTTTCAATTGGATTGGATTTTGGATTAAAATGGGAACATGTACAAGAGAGAGGAAATGGATGAGGATGAATGGAAAGAAAGACAAGTGAAGTCAGGAATTGATCTATGAATTGTGGGGTTCATCGGATTTTGGTTACTCCCTTCGTGTTTTAAGAAGTGTTACAATTTAGCTTTTTTTACTATTCAAATAATGTCTTTTATTTGATTATTTTATTAATATATAAAAAAACAAATGTTATTGTATAAGACATTATTGGATTCGTTAAAATGTATACTTTTATATTATAAAATTTCTTATGATTGTACTAGCATATAATTAGATAAATTAATAATCAAAGTCGTGTCTCGACATGTGTATTTGGTCAAACTCTAACACTTATTAAAACAGGGAGGAAGTACTACAAGTAGTTACTACTAATTGTAGAAGTATTGGTCCATAGCACCTATTTATTTATTTATAATTATTTTTTTTGAAACAAATAGGATGGCAACGTGTAAATATTAACATGAATGAATAAAGTATCATTAAATAGATAAATATTACCATTGAATGTTGGAGTGGTATAAATATTTTTCTAATGGTATAAATAAGTATGTACATGATAAGTGTCATTTATGACACATTTTAGGGCGTTTTTCTCCCTTAGTTTTAGGTTTATTTCGGTGTTTCTTTGTTATTTCTATTCCTTTTAGTCTTGTTTTAGTTATCTTTGTCTTAGTTTATGGTTTTAGGCCTTAGTTGTGAATAATATGCTTTTTGCTCGGTTTCTAGCTTGATTTGCATGTTTTTCTATGTGTTCTTTTACTCTTTTCTCTCTTGGTCTATTTGTGTAGGTACTTGACGTTTTCTTCGATGCTTATGACCCAAGAAAAGGCAAGAAAGTTCAATAGAAAAAGCTTGAAGCTAAGAAAAAAGCTAAGAAGCTTGAGACAAGAAAGCTCGAAGCTCGTAGAAGGCCTTAAACCGAGTCTTTTTCACTCTTTCAGACATAACTTTTGATCTACACATCGAACTGAGGCGATTCAAATTGAGTTGGAAACTAGACTTGAAGAGCTTTCCAACGGTAGGTCGCACACTCCAAGAGGCCTCCTAGAACAGAAGTTATGGTCATTTGAATTTGCGAGACGCTGTCAGGCTGCGCAGCCGCCGCGGGCGCGGCCCTCTGTTCTTCCCAATTGTTGCAACTTTCTAGAGATGCCTCGGGGAAGCCTTGTCGCGGGCGCGGGTTTCTGAGTCTTTTTCGAGCTTAATTTTCGGATTTCATTCTTTCTCTTCTTGTAATATAAATAGAGGACTTCTTAGACTTCCTGAGGGGAAGTTTTACATTTCCTCTCTCCTCTAATTAGGATTAGGGTTAGATTAGGATTTTTTTCTCTCTATTTTAAGAGTAGTTTTAGAGAGAGAAAGCTTGGATTTCTATGGAGATTTGAGAGCTTAAAGAAGCAATTTTGTGGATTCTCATCTCATCTTTTCAATGAGCTTTTCTAACTTTCTCTCAGCTTTATTGCTTTGTTTAATTCTTGTTTTTGCTTATTTCATTGTTGATTAGAGTAGTTAATGTTACTTGTTTGATTCTTACTTTAATTCTAGTTTTACCTTGTTTTCCATATTTTCCTTCATTATGTTTGCTTAGATTTTGTTCTAGGGAAATGGATGAAGGTTATGTTGATGAATTGAGTGATTGGTTGTGATTAGTATGCAATTGATTCTTGATTATTGTGTTTGGATGATGCTTACATTGACTAGAATCTTTTTAGCTAGTTGATTCTTGGTTCTTAATTGTGTTTTCAATCAATTGTGCGGAAGTGAGTTGATTGAGAGTCTAGATTCTTCCATACCTTTGCTAAGCTAGTTGTGCGGTAGTGAATTAGCTTAGTAGTATAATTAGCATGCTTAATTGCGCGGGAGTAAGTTGAGTGTGTTAATCGTTCCTAATTGAGATCATGATCATCTAATTGAGACTTGTTATTGAATTCATTAATGTAATTTTCCCCTTTCCCTAATATCTTGTTAATTACTATAAGTGGTGTTTTAGATGTTTCTCTCCCTATCTCACAACCTTCCTACTAGTCTAATTACCTCAAATTAATACACTTAGTCCTTGTGGTTCGACCCTAGCTTGACACTATCTAGTGTGAACTTGATAGAGTTAGGTTAGGATTATAAATTGTAAATTTGGTCTAGGGTAGTAGACCAACGACCTATTGTCCCCCGATCAGTACATTGTACATCAAATATTATACCACTGGGATATATAATAGTACTACTAGACAACCTATAATCTAATGGTATAATGTACATGCATAATAGTACACAAAAAATACCACTAACCATAAAATAAAAAAAATATCAACCAAGCTAAGTTTGGTCTAGACCTGGAAAACGGGTCATACAGGCCGGGTTCGGGTCGGGTCAGTAAATATTCAGGTCGGGTCGGATCAATTTGGGTTTCGTGTCAAATTCGAGTCATCACTTCGGGTTAAGTTCGGGTGGTCAAGTTTGGGTCAGGTCGGGTCAATTCAGGTTTCGAGTCAAATTCGGGCCATCACTTCGGGTTAAGTTCGGGTCGGGTCAATTTCAGTTCAGGTCGTGTCAATTTTTATGACCAATTTTCGGGTATTTCGGGTCGGGTCAATTTCAGGTCGAGTCAATTTGGGTCGGGTCAGTTTGAGTCGGGTCAAGTTTGGGTCAGGTCACCAAAATAAATTCACTTTAAAAAATAGTTGGAAAAATAAAGTAAAATCGTTAAGAAGATAAAAAAAAAATCGTGAATATCTATTACTTAGGAAAGGTAGAAGCCCTAAAATAAGTAATTCACCATTTCACCCTATTCACTTCAGGAATCGTGTCACTTCGGGTCGGGTCAATTCGGGTCAGGTCACTTCGGGTCGAGTCGATTCGGGTCAATCAATTCAGGTTTAGATTGGGTCGGGTCACTTCGTGTTTTGGGTCACTTCGGGTCGGGTCAAGTTCGGGTTTCGGGTCAATTTCGAGTCGGGTCAATCAGGTCGGGTCAGTTCGGGCATCGAGTCAAGTTTGGGTCAACTCCATTTCTGGTCGGGTTCGGGTCAAGTTAGGTTAGTTCGAGTTCGGGTCAACTTTCGGGTCACAGGTCGGGTCATTCGGATCAGGTCACTCGGGTCGGGTCGGGATTGTCAGGTCTAGTAGTAAGGTTTGTCACCTCACACCCAAAAGGTTGTGGAATCAAACCCCACTCCCAAATTGTCTAGCCTGTTAGCCTAGGTCGGGTTGGACCTGTGACAGGTTCCAGCCCGGTAAAGCCCTTCTTGTTTAAAAAAAAAAAAAAAAACCCATAAAAAAAACCTTTATAACTGTCAAATGACTGTTTTACCCTCCTATGTGTTTTGGAAATACATAGGAGCTATGCGCCAAGATGCACTCCTACTAATTAATCTACTATAAGAGCTAGAATTTTTATTTTATTTTTTTTTTGGAAAATGGATAAAGAAATAATGAGAAATATTATATGTTGGCCTATAACTCTAAACTTTTCTGTATGGTGGTAGGATAAATATAAAATTTAATAGAGTGGAATCTAATTTAGCTAATTCTCCACACATAGTGACTTTAATTCACTTGATATATGGCTAACCATCACAACTTTAGCAAAAAAAATTTCTCCGATCAAGGTTCGGGGGGTCATTTTAGTTCTTCATGGGTCAAATTTAAGGTTAGAATTTGCAATAAATGTTCAAGCTACTTTTGATTATTTTGCATTGGTTTAGGTTAGAATTCGCCCGGTTAAGATTTAAGGGGTCATTTTAGCCCTTTTATGGCTCAATTTTTTATGTTAAAATTTTCAAAAAAAAAATTATCCAATTTGTCTCAATTTTCTTACATTGATTTGCGTGCTAAGAAAAAATTTGCAAATTTAACAGATATGGGTCATTTTAGCTCTTTACGAGTCAAATCTGAGGTCGGAATTTGCAAAAAAATATCAAATATCTCGATTAGTGTGCATTAGTTTTCATGAAAAAAAAAATAGTCATGTTAGAGTTTTGAGGGTCATTTTAACCCTTTATGCATCAAATTTGAGCACAAAATTTGATAAAATGATCGGATTGTTTAATTTGAGCATGAAAATTAGAGGGCACCATGTAAAAAAAAAATCCAACTTTAGCTAATTCTCCACACAAAGTAGCTAAAAATTCAATTAATACTAAATTTCTAGATAAAATTGAAAAATTTTCTACATGCAGCTTGTTTCAACGCAATGTGCTGAAAAATCTCCCTGCAACCAGACCATAACCGTACCCTTTTAAAACCCAAACCCATAGCTGCAATAAGCCTGTTGAGGATAGCATAGGCCTGAACCTGGATAGTAAAACAGCCGCAATTCTCTCCACCCCTTGCACAACTGTTTAGCCCTCAGCTTGGATGTTAGATCCGTCAACCCCTAGCACCAATATTTCTTTTCTTCTTGAGTTTATCCACGTACTGTCCATGAAAAACATAAGGATATCTTATTCTGGCTCACTGCCTTTGATGAAAAAGATTAGCTGAGTTTTTTCTCTTTGTTTGGTGCTTGTTGCTCTTCCTCAAGCCTCTTATAACGTGATTTGAGTTAGGTCATGACTAAAACATCAAACTATTACTATGAATCTAGATGGATAAAGTATAATCATGGAATCCAAGTAGCATTTATTTGGATTACCATAATTTTTCCTAAATTACAGAAGAGTCCTTGAATCCATTTCCACATACTCCCTCCGTGTTTTAATAAGTGTTCCACTTCCTTCTTTTAGCAAAAAACTACATTTTAATATTATATCTCTCTCCTCTCATGGTCTCTGTTTAGAGTAAAAATACCCTAAGACATGTGGCCCAATAAAGGCTTGCCACGTATCAAGCTTGCAACGGTCAGCAAAGGCCCAATCCCTTTGCGACACATGTCATTGTACCCTAATTGAGGTACAGCTCTCCCCTACTATAAATAGTAAGGGCAGACCTCATTAATGGGGATCGAATCATTTTTCCACAAACCAACAAAACACAAATCCCCTTGAAAACGCTCTCAAATCGAGAAGCATTTATTGTCTTATTTCCTCATTTAGAAAGAGACTAACTTAATCTTCGGAGGCGGAACACCCCAGCCCCAGCCGGA